AGCATCTTTTCAGTGTCTTTTGGCCATCTGTAAGTCTTCTTTGGAGAAATGTCTGTCATGTCTTCTGCCCATTTGTTTATTAGATTATTTGTTTTTTGGTGTTAAGTTGTATAACTTCTTTTTATATTTTGGATACCAACCCTTTATCAGATATGTCATTTGTAAATATCTTCTTCCATACATTAGGTTGTCTTTGGTTTTGGTGTTGAAGGGGATTAAAAGTGCATCTATCTTGATGAGCACTGAGTAATTACATTGTAATTGTACTGTATTGTACACCTGAAACTGATATAACACTCTGTGTTACCTACACTGCAATTAGAATATTTAAAAAAAAATTGAAATTGCATGTAAAAGAGCTCCAAATGACTTTTTAGTGTTTAAAGTACTTCTCCAGCAATGGATTCATGTGGGGAAAGGAAGGAGTTGGGGCTGGAAGGGAAGTAGGGCCCACATCCAATGGGGCTTGGTCTTGGAGTCTGGACATTATCCAGAAAGCTGTAAAGAACCAGTGACAGATTTAAGAAAGGATACAATGAAATCATATTTGTTTCTTTTAAAAACATTCCACAGTGAGATTCAGTAGCAAAGTACTGTAATATGGACCAGCATTGTGTTGGGTTTGGGGGATATAATAATAAATAAGGTAGTATGACCCTGCCTTTCTGGAGCTTACATTGAGTTCAAGTTCAACACTGAGGATCTAAATTAAGATAGTATCAGTGGGATCATATAGAAGGAAATGGATGTTACCATAATAGCTAATAATAATAATAGTATTACCATTTATTGAACATTTCCCATATGTCAGACATTAAACACTTCACATGTCCTGTCCATTCTCCACAACAGCCAGAATGATTCCCATTGGTTGAATTTGTCATAACTCTCTCAAACACGTCTAGGGACTTTCCACCTCATTCAGTGCAAATACCCATTTCTCAGGATGAGGTACAAAGCCCTGGCTGTGGCCCACTTTGACTTCCTGAGCTCATCTCAACTCCTTCTCTTATTGTGTTCCAGCCACCATGGGGGGTCCAGATTTCCTAGGGGGTCCTAGACTGCTGTGGGAATATTTCTGCTTCAGGGTGACTTCTCTGTCTGGAATGCTCTTTCCCTTATATCCCACATTTCATTCTGTCACTTCTGTCAAGCCTCTGCTTAAATATCATCTTTTCAATGACACCTCTCTGGCCATCCTGCATGATTCTCTATCCTCTTCACCTTGTTTTATATTTTTCCGGAACATTTATCACATTCTGACACACCAGATTTGTTGGTTTTTTTCTCTCCACTAGATCATAAACCCCATGAGGGCAGTCTTTGTTCACTGCTGTATTCTTGACACCTAGAACAGTGCTGGTACATCTTATCTATCTAATAAATATGTATTGAATGGATGAATGAAGGCTTACAGTGGCCTATGAAGTAGTGAATAGTACTGACTTATTTTTCCCACTTTATTGATGAGGAAACAGAGACATTAACTGAAGGTTTATTTAATTGAAGGATCTTTATCTGGTGTCAGAACTGGGATTTACATGGGATAAAAAAAAGCTCACTTTATTATGTGCCCAGCAGTACTCTAAGAGCTTTACACTTAACTTTACATTAACACTTAATCCTCACAATAACCCCATTTACAGATGAGAAAAACAAATCCAAGAGGGATTTATGATTTTGCCTGGCATTTTTGCACTTGCTAATAAATTTGGAGCCTGTGCTCTTAACCATTTTGCTATACTACCTAATTTTTAAACTGGTGCCTTAAGGAATATGTGACTTTGCCTCCTAATTGCCAGGAGAGTGAGACAAAGGAAGAAATCTGGGATTACTAACATTATTATGATTGAGGACTGCGACAGATAGAAGAATCATCAAGTCAGGGAATGTAGGATGAGCTGGTTTCATTCTCCCTGAACTCCAGACACCCACATCCACATGCCTCCTTGATTTCTTCACTTGGATATTAGGATACAAGGTCAGCTTCAGTAAAAGGTATCTAGAATAACCATGCAGATTATAGTAGTTAGCCGTCTCACACCAAAGCTGGTACACCGGCTCCGACTCATGAAGTCTTCAGGGACCCACCTTGTTGTACCTCCAAAATAGCTCACAACCCCTCTCACATTCTGATCAACAGAAAGGAACAATGGGAAAGAGGCATCCCATTTATTTTAGAGTATCATCTGGAAATTGCTTACATTATTTTTGCTCACATTCCACTGGCCAGAACCTTATTGACATGGCCATATTTAGAGTTTATTATAGGCAACCATGTGTCTGGCTAGATAACTCCATTATCACGGATGAAGAGGAGAATGCATATTAGGGGTCAACTAGCAGTCAATCTCTATGACCGATATCCACTACAGGGATATAGGCATCTCTTATTTAATATTTGCAAAAACCAATTCCTGTTTGTTCTTCCAAAACTTGCTCTTCTCCAAAATTATTCCCATCTCAGTTAATGGTGGGAAATGAAACAAATGAGTTCAATTTTAAACATGCTGAGTTTTAAGGTGCTGTAGAACATCCAGTACAAATTTCCAATAAGGGGTTGAAGATATGTCTGGTTCTGAATGAGATCAGTGTTCAAGATTCAGACTTGATCCCTGACTGAAAGAAGTGATAGAGGAAGAGTATATATATATGGTACTGTCAGAGACTGTATAATACAGTAGGCAGAAAGAACCAAGGATGGAGAGGAAGAACATTCTGCAAAGAAGACTTGAAGAAGAGGGCCCAAGAACAGGGAGCAGTTTCCAGGAGGCAGTAGTTAGCAGTGTAGAAACCTGCAAAAAGGTCAGATACCATGAAAACTGAGAAGCAACTTTTAGATTTGGCCATTGTGCTATTACAGACATTAATACAAGCAGTGTATACAGTAAAATGGGGGCAAATGCTAAATTTCAGTAGTTGAAGAGGGACTTAGAAAGAAATGACAATCCAAGTACAGATAGCTCTTCTAAATAGAAGGGACAGAGTTAGTAGAAGGAGAATTTATGAACAAGAGAGGAAACAACCAAGGGACTAAGATGCTTGAAAGTTCCACCCCCCACCTGCCAGCTCCCCTCCCCTCCACCAAAAAAAAAAAAAAAAAGCTGTAGAAAGAAGGATGGCTCATACTTTAAGACAGGAGATGAGGGTGAGTGCAAATTTAGGTTGATCTGTAGGAATTAAGGGTGGAGGTGTGAAGGAGTTCATGAAGTGTGTAATGCTAAACAATGGTATTGATAATACTAATACTACTATTACTAAGCCCTAACATTCACTGAACTCTTATCTTATGCCAGTCAATGTGCTAGTAATTTTTATCAGCAAACATCACAAAATTTGAAAATGGAAAAGACAAAAGAGCACAGTGGGGTCTTGAATCAGGTCTGACACTGTCACACAGAATACCTAATAATGAACTAAAAAAGCCTATGTGTAATTTCTCCATATTTGAAGGAGGAACTGGGATCCTTCTTGATTTTAGTAAAGATCTGGACAGTCATTCTGACATTTAAGAGATTTACTTCTCGTCAGTCTTTAATCTTTTTTGTACTCAGGAATTTGCTCCATTTTGATGCACCAGGTTATATAAAATTACATTTCATTTATTCAGGCAATTTCTGAGGAGAGTAAGTTAAACTATCTTCACAGGCTAGATACTGAAGTAACATTCTGCTTTGATTATTAACAAAAATCTTTAAAGATTTTCATTCTCATTTGCCCATTTTGATAATATGCAAAGAAAATCCTTAAAAGATTACGATTTTAACTAGCCTCTTCTATAAAATATAACTACAAATTGTTTCCAAATGAGGATCTGTAATAGGGGGAAATGAAAAAAACAATGAGGAACTAAGTTAAAATCAGACATGATTTAATACTGTCATTTATCATTAATTGTCCTGGGATAATTTAAATTCCACTAGCTTATTTTTTATAAAGTATTTACAGTTGGTTATAACCGGGAAGCAGTATACATAAACATATCCCTGACCTATAATGTTCTAAGAATGGCAGCTGAATACACTGCTATGTTAAGATTGTTGATTTAAAGAAAATTCTTTGAATACCAGATGAATGGGATCTCATACAGTATTTTAGGGCTTAGCAAAATTGCAAGCCGTTAAGACTATGAATTGTTAGTAATTCCACTATATTTTGCTAGTTAAATGTCGCAGAGCCATAAAAAAAAAAAACCCTTTTAAATAAAACGATGACCTTGATAGTAAATATGAAGACGCATGGCTTTTAAATGGGTTGTCATATGGATCAAAATTAGCATCTATCCAGCTGATGTTAACCAAGAGGCCACAATCTCTTTAACAACCTACCGAATGTCAAAACTGCGAGACGGGCTTTCATCTTCTAGTAAACTAATGACATCGTGTTGGAGAGGCCTAAGCAAATGACCTTGGTTCCCTGAAAGATGGCTCATACTCTCGGGGTACCTCTGCAGTATTTACAAAAGCAGCTCTGGACGGAAAGAGGTTAGGGTCGGATGCCCTGGTATCCGGAGGCTGCAGCCTCGCCGCGGGGCTGGAAGCTATCAAAGCCACCCCCCTTCCCTCGGCGGATTTTCAGAGCCGATTCGTCCCCCTAAGATCGGGAGCGTTTAAGTCCTAGCACGTTCCTCGACTTGGGTATACCAGGGGCCTCTCCAACACTCCTGGGGGCTCCAGAAGGTTTCCGGCGTGTACGCCCTTCTTTCGGTGGGGCCATAGACAGCGGTGACTCGATAGAAACACTGACCCTCTGCCCGATCCCAAGATGGCGACCAACACTGGCAGGACTCCAAAGAGCCGCGAGCAACTTCCCCTTCCCAACAGCCCCTGCGGTGGCGACGACGGCAAGCAGGAAGGGGGAGGAGCCGGCAAGAGAGGGCGGGGCATAACGCTGCGCCCTCCCGCGCGCACCCCGGCCCCGCCCCACGTCCCTGCGTCCCGGCCCGGAGCTCTGGCCCGACCGGGCGGCACGCGCTGCCTGCTGGGATACTCGGCCCGCCCAGTCAGTCCTCCCGGCTTGCGCTGCGGCCGCGAGATCCGCGTTTTTCCCAAGATGGTGGCGCTGGGTTCGGGGTGACTGCAGGAGACGACATAGCCTGACTCCCCTTCGCCAGAATCTCGACACACCGCCTTCCTCCCGCTCGCGCACCCCGCTGCCACTTAGCCATCCGCTGGCCTGGGCGCTCGCCTTCCGCTGCCGTCTCCGACTTGAGCTTCATCTCTGCGGACCCAACGATTACGGCCGCGGGCAGCGGCGCCTCCCTCGGCTCCTCCTTGGGGTCGCGCTCGGAGCAGCTCGCAGCCTAGCCCCGGCTCGGCGGGCCCCGCATTTCCCCAGTGGGGACAGGCAGCGGCGGAGCGGCGGCTGGCGACGAGCGCGGGGTTTTCTGCGGCCCCGGCGCCCCTTTTCCCGGCCTTAGTCTCCGGAGAAGGAAGCGCGGGTCCCGCATGAGCCCCGGCGGTGGAGGCAGCGAAAGGGAACGAGGCGGTGGCGGGCGGAGGCGGCGAGCGAGGGCGACTGCGACCAGTGAGGCAGCCGCTGCTGCGAGGGCCACAGCCCAGGCGCGGGGGCGACAACAGGTCAGTGTGGCCGAGGACCGGGCCTGGGCCGGGGAGGCTGGTCGGCATTTCTCTTCGTTCTCTCTCGCTCAGACCACCCTTCGGGGCTGGCTCTGGCGAAGATAGGGACGCTCCCAAACCGCGCCACGGCGAGTGTTTGGGGGCGCGTGGTTTGGAGGGGTCGGTGCCAGAAGTGGGGCTTTGGTAGCAGCGGCTGCTGCTACCGTAACTGTCAGTCCTGGCTGAGGGCCGGAGGGAAGGTTTTGTCGCCTGAGGGGACGCGAGCGGGCCCGGGGCGGGGCGTGCAGGGCGTCGAGAGTTGGCCCTCCTTGGAGCGGAGCTCGCGGAGCAGGCCTGGGCCCCAGGCAGGGTAGGGCTGGCCTTTTCCTTCCAAGGGGAGCTCTTTTTTCGAGGTTTTGGCCCTGTTGGTGAAAAATGCTTAGACGTGTGGTTTGGTGGGTTGGGGTTTTGGGGGTGGACTGGTGGGGAGGGAGGGCGGATGAAGTGGGAAATCAAGCCCAAGGATTGTGTTCACAGATTATCGGGATTTTCAAATTAAACGTGAGCTACCGGGTTTGCCAGAGATTCTGTTAAATGCAAACCTGCAAACAGTTGGCATTTTTTTATTTTCCCTTTTCAGTTGAGAAAATGAAAAGGACTCTTTCTTCGTCATGGCGTGTAGGTTTTGTTGGTAAAGTCAGAATTGAATGTGGCAAATACTTTAGTCCATAAAATTGTTAGAAATAATTTTAACGTAGGCACTGTTTGAGCTTAGACTCCTTCAAAGATAATTTAGTCTCTGAATTTTAAGAACGTCCAATTGGCATACTAAAATAGAAACATTACTAAATCTGTCTGGGATTATATTTATTAAATGGCTAGGGTACTTTTGAAAATGTAAACGAATAGCAGTATGGGATTTACAATCCAGAGTTACCCTCCATAAATCATGAGGGGATATAGCTATGACCCTTAATTTTGGAGAATTCCACTGCAGTATTGAAAGAAGCAGGAAATTATTCCAGAATATTCTGGGGGGAGGGAAGGAGGCTTGAAATGGAAATGACCTAAAGTTTGGAAGAAAAACTGTTAAAAAGTTACCTGTCAGAGTCACAGTAGATAACCAATAAATCTTGAGTGATTAGACAAGAGGGATGAGAAGTGTTTGCTTCATAAGCTCTGACTAATGAGTACTCTTACTGTTTAAACCAGGTAAAAAAGTTAAGAATTTAGGAAGATAAAAATAAAATTTTTGTCCTGGTATGTATAGTGGAAATAATTTTAGAATTAGATCTTGCTTATAAATCTGAGTTATTTATCACATTTGTAATAAAATGAATACAGTATTAATGATGGTGCTGATAAGCTCAAGGAATGACCCAGAAGCCCTTTAAAGAAACTAATAATCACAACAAAAGCAAGAAATAGATTCAAGAAATAATGATCCTCTCTTTACAAAATTAGAATTGGAAACTAAGAGAGTCTTGCTGTATCAATATTTATTAACTATCATTAGTATGCTAAGTATTATGTACACTATTGTCTGGACATTGCCTAGTTCCTGAGGAGTTTAACTTTACACAGAGATACAAATTACAGTGTTTTGATTTCTTTTCAGAGATGTGGTGATCTGTTTTATTTCACCTCTCTTAAATTGTACGTTTTTTTTCTTGGCTTAAAAAAGTACCTTCTTAAGTATACTTACTAGAAGTGTGAGGAAGACACATTCTCATCCCACTTGTTCAATTCATTTAATAAGATTTATTGGGTACTTACAGTATCTTGGACATTTAACCTTTAATCAGTTGTATTTCTTAAACTTTAGGTCATTTTTAAAATGATCCTTCTGCTGTCCCCTCCAACCCCCCCCCCAAATCTGAAATAATTTACTGTTTCAAATAAGCAGTCAGTGGGATAATCCAAAACCATGGATCATATCTACATTTTTCAACCCAAGCACTTGAAAAATTTACGAATGTTTATTTTCTTAAATGATTACTGGTTATCTTCTTGTCGTGTTGCACATTTTTGTTTAGACCCAAACTTGTATTGGTCAAAACATAGAGACATTACATTAAATGCACATGGAGCTGTTAAAAAGTTAGTTTTTTGATTTTTTTAAAGTAAAATTTATTTATTTGAGAGACAGAGAATGAGAGAGACAGAGAGTATGGGAGGGAGGAGGGTCAGAGGGAGAAGCCGACTCCCCGCTGAGAAGGGAGCCTGATGCTGGACTCTATTCCAGGACTTGAGCTTAACCAACTGAACCACCCAGGCACCCCTAGTTTTTTGACTTTTATGAGTGAAGACAAATTTTCTCTTTCCAGGATAATTCAGGATAACAGAGTTTTGGCTGATTTTGACTCTCCCCCCACTGCAAATGTAAAGATAAATTCAAAAACATTACAGTATGTGCAGTGAGAATAGCTTTGGAATTAGATCCCATTTTTAATTCTGGGCTCACCTTAGTTGTCTGATCTTGGCAAGTTACTCAGTCTTAGTGAGCTGCAGTTTTGTCATCTATAAAATGGGATGGTGAAACTAAATCAGAGTTGTTTTGAGGATTAGAATTTGTAAATGTCCAACACATAGAGTATTATCATTTGAAGTCTTCCTACCTTGTTATTTTTGTTGTTGTTGTTCTCAAAAGCACCTTATATACGGTGGACTCTAGCATGTTAACCCTTTACATTGTTTTCATTCTCGCTAGCTATGAACTCACTCTTTAAAAGGGGAGGGACTCCTAGTGTTTACCAGAAAGTGTGTTGCCAGCGTATGGATGAATTATCAGTAAATAGTCAACTAACATTCATTGGGTACCTACTGTGTCTGCTATGAGCTGGGTTAGATGTAGAAGCTACAAAGACAATCATGTCTGTCTTTTGGAAGCTTATAGTCTAGTGACTTTCTCCACATAACACCATTTTTTGTGAAATCCTTTCATATAATGGAGCCTCATTCTTCTGTGCTCTTCCAGTCTTAGGGCAGTTCTGTGGACTAAACGCTTCCACCTGCAGCTGCTATTCTAAAGAATATTGTTTTTACCCCTTTATACAACTATTTGGCATATTTTATATCTTTACCTTGGTCCTGCTCCATAATCCAAAATCTGGTACATAGTGTGTGTGTCTGTGTGTGAATGGGTACGTATATAAAAAAAAGAAATTTACTTTGGCAGTTGCCTGTAAATACTTTGATATTTTTCTGGGGTGACTATCATTCTGTCTTCTGGTTCTAGCTTTATAGAAGTTTCAAACTTCAGTAGGACTGTTCTTGAGGCCAGACACTCCATTCATTTTATACATGAAGAAATTGAAGTGCAGAGCTTTAAAATGATTTTCTTAAAGTCACCCAGGTGGCAGAGCTAGAAGCACAGTCTGAGTGTCTGGACTAGAGTTCAGGACTCTGTATACAGTGGCTTATGTTCTGTCCTACCTGTTGAGAGGAGTAGTTTGCCTCTATTTGAATGTTTTCACACTATTATTAGAAGGCAGACTTTACAAGATGCCATCACTGGGCCTTTTCTGAGCGTAAGAGGTAGTGCAGGAAATGGGGCTTTTTCTTCTAATAAAGGAAGTCAAGTAAAACTACAGTAACTAGAAATGGCGTTAATCTACAAACATATCCTATGTCCGGAACAGTTTAAAATACTTAAAGATGCTATATAATTTCTTAAATGAAATAACTTATTAATAAATAGCTAATAAATTTCTTTGCCAACTTTACTTTGATCTAAGTTATCATTAAGTAAACACCATGATGGATAATGAGTCAAAATGAAGTTTTTAAGTTTAAGGCCAGTCTGAGAATGAAATAAAGCTAATACCTTTTTTTGGAATATTGCTGTTTGCAAATGAGATTTAGCTGACAGTTGTTTCTGTTTGATTCTAAGCTTCGTGACTGTGAACTCCCTAAAATTATATATAAATTTTAAGTTTCAGAGTCTCAACAGGTTCAGTGAACAAAAGCGACCAAGAACCACTGATGTGGAGGAAGAAGCACTAACTTTGGTGTCAGAAGATCCTGGGTTCATCCTTCCAATCTAGCTTCCTAGCTGGTCATGAGCAGGTCATTTATCTTTCAGAGCCTTTGTTCTGTTAACTTCTGTTAAGTGAAGGTGATACTTGCTTTGTCTGTTTCAAAGGGTTGTTTTTCAGATGTGATCATTCTCAAAAGAAATTAGAATAATACTGTATAAAGTGACCTCATACGTGACTTAGTGACTTGCCCAAAAAAACAAGTTGGTTAGTGGTAAACAAGCGATTGGAATATTTTCGTGCTTTTTCTCTATAAACATTTTTAACCTTTTCATACTTTCAGAAGTATTATTTTGGGAAATATTTAGTGTGTGAGTTTAAATTAAATTTATTAACTACATTTGAAATAAACAATAGATCTTAATAATTAGTGATGCACTATTCAGTATTATTAATCCTTAGTCAAACCCCTTCTTGTAATTTGCTTTACTTTTTTTTTTTTTTTTTAAAGATTTTATTTATTTGAGAGAGAGTGCAAGAGAGAAAGCACTAGAGGGGGTAGGGCCAGAGGGAGAAGTAGACTCCCCGCTGAGCAGAGAGCCCAGTGCAGGAATGGATTCCAGGACTTCAGGATCATAACCTGAGCTGAAGGCAGAGGCTTAACCCACTGAGCCACCTAGGCACCCTAATTTGCTTTACTTTTGATCTCTCCTGTTAATTTGATAAATGGCAGGTAAATCATAAGACTGACCTGAAAGGAAAAGAGGTTTTGGAGACATAATTTCTTTTTTTTTTTTTTTTTTAATATTTTATTTTATTTATTTGACACAGAGAGAGACACAGCGAGAGAGGGAACACAAGTAGGGGGAGTGGGAGAGGGAGAAGCAGGCTTCCCGCTGAGCAGGGAGGCCGATGCGGGGCTCTGCGGGGCTCGATCCCAGGACCCCGGGATCATGACCTGAGCTGAAGGCAGACGCTTAACGACTGAACCACCCAGGCGCCCCTGGAGACATAGATTCTTATTGGATAAAATTATTCCAGAAC